GGCTCACAGCCTCTCTTCAGGGAGAAGCTTCGCTCCTATGGGGAAATAAAAGAGACCTACTTTGACCTCTACCCAGAAGGTCAGGACCACTGAGCCAGACTCTCAGTATTATCACCTCCACCCGCCCCAGGGGAGTAGGACTTAAGCTTTTTCCATGTTGACTCTTGATGTTGACTTTCCATGTTGACTCCAGAAATATATGTACTGTCCCTCCCCATCACACATACCACTTCTCCTTTCTTTCTCTGACTCCCTCTCTGCTACACATACACATAGCACAGAACCAAGGACTGTATCAAAACTGTCCAGTTATCTGCACTATTCATACAGTCCAGAAGTTCCCTATTACCCTGAAAATGAAGAACTAAGATGCTTATAATCCTCACAAAGATTACTCAGCCACAAAACTGTGTCTGTGTTGTTGCTGCATTTGCCACCTTCAAGTTAGAATCAGGAAGTCAAGGGGAACAGGAGTGGCAGGAGTGAGGCAGCTACCAAGGGTGACAGGCTGCATTGGCCTGGGAGGGCTGGGAGCTGAGGGGTATGGCTCAGAGCACAGGCCTCTGCAAACTACGTTGCCTTGGGCAAGCGACTAACCCTCTCTGGAGTTTCAGTTTCCTCACCCATCAATGGATAAATGCTGAGTACCTCTTACGATCTGGTGGCCAATGTAAAGGGATGCCCACAAAGTGTAGCACCACCAAGGGTCGAGGGTCGCAGCAAGCTACTCCCACCATTATCAGCATCGTTATCATCATCTCCCAGGGCCAAGTTAGAACAGTAACCTTAGAAGAAGACCCTCTGTGAGTCAGAAGTTCATGTTTTTTAAATGCTTTGCCAAACCTTTCTATTGCCCTTAATTTAATTACTTCATTCCATGATCTCAAATGGCTCCATCAACTAAAAATGCCCATTTCTAAGAGCACATGAAATCTTATGGCTTTTCCGTCCTGCAGCTGGAGGGTTTCAGTTTAGCTCTGGCAGGCTGATGAAAACAACATGCCCAAAGAATTTTAATTGCTATTTCATTAATGAGGTCCTATTAACATCTCTCCCAAGCAACTCTGCTGATGGCCGAGCACATGGCCATCCAAATTACCAAACAACAAAGTCCCCATAAACCTGGGCCTTGGCCTCTGAGGTTAATGATTAACAGTGCTAGAAACAATAATGAAGCAGAAGAAGAAACAGGCTGTGCAAAACATGAGGGTTCCCCCCACAAACAGCTACTTGCCACCAGGAAAACTTGGGTACTCTCAGCTGGAGAAAGGGGTCTGGGCAGTCAGTTTCTATAGTTGGCACCAGCCCTCCTCAACTAAGCAATGACACCGACAACAGCAAAAGTCTGAGGACATCCTGAGAAGGAACCTGGATCCAGAGGAAGGAGGGATTGCTGCAGCAGGAAGGGCCAGAGCTGCTCCACACAGGAAACCAAACAGGCTGTCAAATGAAGGGAAGTGACGCTCCAGCCTCCACAAAGTCTGTTCTCACCAGCAAGGCTGAAGACTTAACAGAAAGGAAGAGCTAGACTTAAAAACAAGCACCCTCTAACCAAAAGAGAAATCTGGCAATGTTTTCTTTTGTTGGTTTTTTCTTTTTTCTTTTTTTTTTCTTTTTTTTTTTTTTTTTTTGTGTGTGTGTGTGTTTGATGCTGGATCAAACCCAGGACATGCTAGGCAAGTGTGCTCTACCACTGAGCTATATCCTCAGCCCTATCAAAAGTTTTATATGTACATTCTCTTTGGTCCAACAATTATACTACACAGGTTATATACTACAGGTGTACTTGCAAGTATAGTCCAAAATATTGTGGATAATTTCACTTTATCATTTTCTATAAAAGAAAAACTTAGAAACATTAATGCCCATCAATTGAGGGCTAGCTAAATAAATTGTAATTTATCTATATGATAAAAAAGACAAAAAGAGTGAGACAGAGCCAGAAGATTTTGTGCTAAGTTGAACAAAGACCTAGTGAATATAGAATGCTTCAATTTGTGTCAGTTAAAAATCATAATATATAAATTCTATAGCGATACCAAATACACTCATGTACTGTTTATAAGAGCACAAATTGCTTTTATTGAATATATTCTCTGAAGTCTTCAAACACAGGTATAAATATATAGCTACTGCATGGGAAAATGTTCAGAATAAAGTATAAGGATTTTTTAAGCTGAAAGCTACATATGTACAATACGCATGTGAAAACGATCTGAAGGATCCAGAAGAATATATATCAAGGTGCTGCCTGTGGTTCTTTCTGGGTAGGACTGCAGTGCTTTACATGTTCTTGCTCTCCACCTGCTTTTGCTGTGATGATCAAGGATGGGTTTTGTACTAAAGTAGCAATAATAATACATTATAAAAAGAAAGCTTCACTGGAGAAAGGCAAAGAACAGGGTTCAGAGGCAAACCTGGGCGTACAGACAGGGAAGGCAGTGCCCAGATGACCAGAGAATGGGATTGTGGGGGCAACAGCTTGGAGCATACCTGCCTGTGCATCTGGATAAAGAGAAAACCAAGGGGGCCAAGCAGATGGCTCAGTAGAATAAGCACTTCCCTGGCAAGCACAAGGGTCTGAGTTTAACCCCCAGTTCCACAAAAAAAAAAAAAGAGAGAGAGAGAGAGAGAGAACCAAGCAAAAGCCCTGGAATGTGCCCTAACTTCCTCAGAGAATATGTGCTTCTCACCCAAAGATTTACAGTAACTCAAGTATTCCTGTCTTTACAACCTGGACCCAGCTCTGAGGCTCTCAGTACAAATGATGAGTCTGGCAGGAGGGCTCTAGCACATACCCTGAGAGTAATTGATTCCCAGAACACTCTCCTTTCTGCCCCTCTCCACCCCCAAAACATGCTGGAAACACAAAAGGATGTATTATCCCCATCACAAAGGAGAGAACAGGCCCAGGATCACTCAGCTCCAAAGCACTGGCTGGTCTGATTCTGGTTCTGATAATTTCTAGGTTTAAAACATCTTCTAATGCAGGGCATATACCCAGGGAGACCTTTCGTCACAGGATCAATACTGTGCCTTGTATGTGACCCTACAGGGAACATACACTCCTACCCATAAGGTGTCACTTAGTGCCAAATCTCTCCCAAGAAGTAGTGATAACAGAGAGCATGAAATCCCATCTAAAGTCAGGGGTGAAAAACCAAAAAAAAAAAGAAGACCCACTCAGTGCAAGGGAGTAAGCAAAGAGTCATTTTCTACTTCCTTCTCTAACACCACATGGTATTACCTTCACTTCTCTTAATGTCTTTTCCTCATAGCCTTATCAATTTGTGCATTCTCATCTCACCTTAAAAATATGACCTTGCTGTTGTGCACAGCAAAGAGCTACAAAGAAAGCAATCCAGGAGATAGGCACAGTCTCCAAAGAAGGCTCACATCACAGCAAGAAGGCTTCCAGCCTGAAGCCTGTGATTGGGATTTGGTGACTGCATGCAAAAGCTAACAGGAACACACTTTCAGTGAAAAATGCCAACTCTAATCAGCCACACTCTTCATTTACTGGCTGGCCACCTACACTGTCCAAACTCGGCCTTCTGGACCTGCAGAAGGCAAGAGTTATAAACACTGCCTCAGGACGCAGCATTATCTAGGTTTGAATTCTGCTTCTGTCTCTACTAACTCTATTTCCTCAGATTACTTTACTTCTATGTGCCTTGATTTTTTTTCAGCTGTTCTGTGCATTAAATGAGGTCAGGCCAAAAGATACTTAGTATAAGGTATAACCCAAAGTAAGAGCTTTTCAATTGCTAAGATAATTAATCAGAGGCTCTCTATACACACATGCACACATGCACACTATGCTGCTGTCAGAACCCAGTGTCTATAAGGTATCAGGACTGGAGTCACCAAGATGGATCTGGTCCCAAACGCATTGTCTTCAATAACCCACACAGACAAGGAGGCACCTCCCCATTAGACAGAGAAAGGAGCAAGAGGAGAAAACACAGATGTTGAAAGAGAAGAAGGGCCAAGCTAGAAAGCCTGGCACATTCCCGAAACCTCAGACAATCTATAGCAGCTCACTACAAAAAATGAGACATAAACTATAGGTATACATGTGCACACACATGCTAGGCAGAAACAGAAGGCTGGTGAGGGAGACAAGGAAGGAGGAAATAGAGAACTAGCAGCTAAGCCTTCTCCTATTGCCACTCCACGAGCAAATACCATAATAAGAATTTGTGGCACAGAGGCATGCATTAGCCAAGCCCTCAGCTCATGCCAAAGCAAAGCCTGAGCACATCCCTCAAGAAAGTGTCCTCTTCAAAGGTTAGGCCAGAGAACTCACACATGGGAGAGAAAGGGTTCCCATTACAAAATGCAAACAATAGGGCATGTGCAGAAAAAGCACCAGAGGGACCACCAAAAACAGGAGAGTCAAGGTTCAGAGCTAGCACAAATCGGTAGGATCTAACACTGGGGCTACTGACACGTGTCCTTCGCAAATGCCATCATCATCCAGACCAGCATAACAACTGGTCACATGTGTGTCTTCACTGATAAACCTCAAGAAGAGATGAGAATCTATGTAGGCTCCTAAGGCCAGGGTCTTGATGAGAAAACGAAAGGATACCAAGCAACAGGGCAAAGCCTTGCTGTCTGGTGGACTGAGGAGCTAGTGCAACAGAGAAAGCAGCACACAGGCAGCACCAGGTCCTCAGCTCATTTCCAGACACTAGCTAGACATGACACAGAACAGAACAACAATGAAGATCTATTTCAACACCTACCCCAACTTGTTCTTCCACCCCTCAAGACTTCTCAGATCTCCTCTCTCTAATATCTGTACTATTCCCCTAAAAATCACTCACATTCTGCGTGGCAAAGGGTTAAACATAACTGATGTTAATGATCTCTACATCTATGCCATGTCTAAGTTACAGCAGAGACCACTTCACATAATCACTGAGGAGCCCACAGGAGACCAGGTCATATCTTTACAAGTTCAGAAAAGAAACAGCAGCCCGGTCCCCCATTACCTGCGTAGGCATTGGCCTGCTGCAGAAGGTCCGTGCAAGCATGCACATCCGCAAATGCACGGATGCCCAGGCAATTGGTGGGATGCAGCTGAGACTGCAAGAAGTCACAACAGTTCTGCCTGACATCCATGAGCTGTAGTAAGCTGGCCGCTGGGAGCAGCACCTGCAAGAGAAGAGGACATTCTGAATCACAGGATTCCACTAACAGGGACTCATCCCTTTCATACACTGCTCCAACTGTGTCCCCACTCTCATGACCAATTCTTGGATCTCTACTGCCTACCTGGTACACTCACACCTTCCAGGTTGGTTTCCCAGCCTTATTTCTCACTGCTCCACTTCATGGACACAAGCACTAGCAGATTCTTTGTATCCCTACAGCTGTGCTTCCCTTGAGTGCTTCCTCAGATCCCAGGGGACCTGAAATACAGATTCTGATCTACTAGGTATAGGATAGGCCTGTGGGCCTGGATATCTGTGGAGAACTCAGGTGATATTTGGAGTTTCTGATCTCTGAACCACAATTTGCATAGCAAAACCCCGTCCAGGTGCGCATGTGCCTGCATAAGCATACGCACATACAGACACGGGCACATGATAGCACAGGTTCTCATACATGGCTGTCCAATGGAATCACTTGAAAGCTTTTAATAGCGATACCTCGGGTGTCACCCCTGAAAAGGACAACTTACAGGTAGCGTGTGCAGCCTGGACACTGGGTGTTTTTAAAGCTCCCCAAATGTTTCTAATGGTCATCCAAGTTTGAGAACTGCTACCTGGCAGCCTTGAACGTACTGTTTTCAGTCAGAAAGGTACTTAATTGAGTTGCTCCCTGGCTCATTTACTAGGATAGGCTCTGAGACTCAGGAGTTAGCAACACAGACAGATGCTCCTTTTATGGAGCTTAGAGTCTACGAGAGTCATTCTCAGATCCCTTGGGACTTACCAATCACATTTTATTCCCCTACCCAACAGATAAAAAGTAAAGAACATCTTTGGGAACATTTTCAGAGAAAGGAGAGCTGAGTTTTCTTTTAAAACATCATAGGCCACATGAGTATTTATACTGTATTTGGAAAGACATAAATAGTTTTTGCTCAGGTGTGTGTGCATGTGTTTTTCCTGTGAGCCAGGGAAGACTGGCTTGAGCAGGCCAGCTGGGTGCTCAGACTGCCAACCTCTGTCGGGCTTCTTTAGTATTTTCTCACAGCTGCTGAAGCCTGCTCTTAAGGTCAAAAAACACAGAATGAAAGCCAAAGCCCTGCTCCACTCCAACTCTGCTATCCCATGTAAGGGGCATATAGTCAGTATGGCTTTCTAAAAGGAAACTTGGGGGAGGAGGCGGGGAATCACAGAGTGGAACAATAAGATTTCAGCCTGGCAAGGACAACAACCTGAGTTTGATCCCCAATACAAAAAAAAAAAAAAAAAAAAAAAAAGTATAATTTAAGACTGCTTAACTTGAAGACTCCAGCATCCATTTACCCCAAAAAATATTCCCTTTGACTAAAGTTTTTGCTTTTAGCTGCTCCACTGGCTCACTGAGGACCGATCCCGACAGACCCCAGCTGTTCCCATCCACAAGGGCTTTTCCATGAAGACAGGGCCAGTGGACACATTTGTTTATTTTATGCATTACAAAAGTCTCTTTTTTTCAAGGATTTAAATTCTAGACTTTGACCTTGCCCCCAAACAGCTCTGAGCCCTTAATTTTTTTTTTTTTTTTTTTTTTTTTCAGAACCAGGGATTGAACTCAAGCCCTTGTGCTTGCCAGGGAAGCACTTATTCTACTGAGCCATCTCCCTGGCCTCTGAGCCCTTAATTCTGACTGTGTTGTATCTGTGTCCGCAGGCCAAAAATTCTGCCCCACTGGCCATGCTTATGCTTTGTCTTTCCACTAGTAACAAATTGTTCTGGTTTGCCTAGGGCTGAGGAGTTTCCAAAGACTTTCTGTACTGAACCTGGGACAGTTGGTCCCCCACATGCAGGAATCATCAAGACCCACACTATCAGTGGCCACAGGTTTTTCAGGAGAGATCTACCTACCTACTAGCTTAACTAAACATCTCCTTCACAATACTAAGCTCTTGAAAACCTGTATTTCTCCCTTCCTTCACCGTCTCTTCCACTTGCCCATGTCCCCAGCAAGACAGCAACAAATCGGCACTATGTCCTTGGTATTTTCTGGCCCAGTGATTCATTCCCAAGGAAGATAAAAATCACCCTCACCTGAGAGTTGTACACCATTGGTGAACAGAGTCAGGATCCAAATCTAACCACCTGAGCAGCCACTGTCCCCACTAGGCAGCCACCCCCAGCCCCCCCCCCCACTGAGCAGCCATAAACTGAGAAAGTCAATTAACCTGAGAGCTTGCTCAGCCTGGTCAAATAGATTCCAGGACCAGATTAGTCTCTGCCGGCTCTTTAAGTGTAGATCCATTAGCCATTCTTGCTGAGTACACACCAGAAATGGAAAGCTCTGCTCCAATTTCCCAAATGACTGGATGGCAACTCCCCAGTCAATACCAGCTACAAAGCCTGAACCAAAAGCCATAGGTTGACCAATCATACTGATGTTTCTGAACCTTACCAGGTTTAGCCTAAGTCTCATGTCCCAGGAGACCTCTCAGTTCAGCAAACTGGGACATTTATTTGGTCTATGTTGGAGTTATCTCTGATCATAACTCCCAGTATCTCTGAGAGTCCAGCCTTGGCTGAGTCTTTGCCAAGTATCAGCAATATGGCTTGGAGCTTATGTTCTCAAACTCGTGACTACTAGCTAAAGAAGAATATTACTAAATATTTTTTGAACATATATATTCCTTATGTTACATTTTCAATTTTTAAAACCTCCCTGGACAGACCTACCTATAGAGGCTTCAACTTCCCTACTGTTCACTTAGTAGGAAAAACTTAGGAGGCTTTCCACCTTTCCACACCCTTTATCAATCTTGCCCTAGAGCATTCCAGAATGGGCTTCCTAAACTGAACAGAGCTTGTGGTTTCTCTAATTGCTATTTCTATCTCTTTAATCTTACACTGAGACAGCTGTGTGAGTCAAAAGCCCTTTACTTCCCTCTACTTGCTTCATAGAGGGAAGAAGAAGTTGAGAAAGAGTGCTGACAGAGATGATCTGGAGGCTGGAAGATACATCACTGCTCAAACAGTGCATATCAGGAATGAACTGAGGTCCAGTTTAATGGAGTACTGGGTTCTGGATCCAAGTGCAGAACAAAGCCGCATAGGACAAACACATCCACAAGGGGACATGAATATCTTCAGTTCCCTCTCCCTCATCAACAGGGCTTTAAGAGGACTGCATCTTACTTTCTCTTGTTTGAGACTATTCTTTAAAGTGACAGCAGGAAAAAGATTACGACCAGGTGGCCAAGCCCAGCCCCCAGCTTCAAAGTGAGACTGTCCTGGTAGAGCCACTAGGGCAGGACTATGACTATGTAGACCCTGAGGAGGCGGCTAGGGACTCCCATCAGAATGAAAGATCATGTGGAGATAGCTCAGTGGTCTTAGCATCTGCATGGCAAGCACAAGGACCTGGGTTTGATCCCTGATACTGCATGCCATGCCAACCCAGAACCCTGGGCACACTGAGCCAGTCACTGAAACTGGGCTTGGTGGTAAACGCCTATAATCCCAGCACTAAAAAGACTAAGACAAGAGGATCACTAAGAATCTGAGCTGCATAGCAAGACCCCATACCAAATATATAAATAAAAGATTTTTAAAAATTAAGAGAATGGAAGATTAACATGAAAAAACCTTCCGTCTTGCCTTTTACTATCTCAGCATTACACCTAAAAAGACAGGCCCTGCAAGGGCCTTCAACAAAGAATTTGTACTCTCTTCTTCTGCTTGCAAATGGCTAGCCCTTCTTTTTTCATGGCAGCCTCTTTTTGTTTTTTCTCCCTTCAGATAACATGAAAACACAGCAGAGGATATCCCGTCACAGAGTTTGTTTCCTTTAGTAAAAACAAAAGGAAATGCCCTGGCTCAGAAAGCACCTACTCCTGGACCTCCAGGGAGGCAGGGCCAGGCTCATAGAGAGGCACCAGCCAGAGTGCCAGGTGATGGAGCCAACCAGGGCATCTGCCCTGGCCACATGGCACAGAAATGGTTCTGAATTAAAACCTGTTGAGAGAAAGAAGGCAGAACAGAAAATAGAGCTAGTTGTATAGATGAGCAGGAGAGCCAACAGAATAGCCCCGAGATTACAAGCATCATTTCCACTTCGCCTTCCACTTTGCCTTCACTTGCCCAGCCACGTGACTAAGGATGAATTGCTTAATCTCTCTGTGGCTCTGTCTCCTGCACAGTAGAGGAGGGACAATCATAGGACTGCTTTCGAAGCTTGTGTGGATCAAATGAGGAAATAGATTTAAAGCCTGAACGCAGTGATTGGTACATAGAGAATGCTCAGTTAAGATTAATGTTGGTTTATATTATGATTATGATTATTATTATTATGAGGAGCTGAAGCCAAGGCTCTGTCCATTCATGTAACAGGAAACTAGGGTTCACCACAAAGGCACAAAAAGCGGGGAGTGAACTAGATTTAGCTCTCCACTCTCCGCCCCATACTACATGACAGTGGCAGATTACTTTCCCTTTTTGATCAATTTCTTACATTGTAAAAGAGTGATCTTAGTCATTCCACTGGGTGGTTTCGAGAATTAAATAGTGCACATGCGGTGACTAGCACATGCCTGGCTTCTAATCAGTATTAGTAAATCTCAGAATTGCTATTACTTCCACCATCAACTCAGGGTCTTCCCAAGAGGCTAAGGGGTAGAGCTCTCATGGTCATTAAACCAAGCCCTGATCTCTGACCTCAGGAGAGACCCTGTCCCAGCCCCTGGGTTCATCTCTTTAGTATGTTAAATGCTCAGTAAACACTGTCTTCACAGATAACATATGAGCAGCTACGTCAGTAGACAAGTAATAGCAGGGTAAAGAATCTACCATTTGATCTAAATGCTTCTTTTCAAGCTTTTTTTGTTGTTATGCTGTGTCCCCCAAGGTCATCCAGACCTAAGCATGGCTGAAAGTGAGAAGGAAGCAGGAAAACCATAGTTGGTATGCTGTATTGATTCCAAATAATGACAGTTCTCTCAGGGACCACATGGCGCCACTCCACAGAACTATTGTACCTGCCAGCCCAGCCAGACTCCACACTCACAGATGAAGATAGCAGACCCTAGAGAGGCTCACAGATCAGTCCAGGCCTGGGCAATCAGCAGAGGCAGTCTGCCCACCCAGCCACCCTCTGAGACCCAAATATGTGCATCTGCTCAGTGAGGTCTGCCACGGCTGTCCTCAAGGAAGCGATGATTGTTTTCTGCTAGCTAGGCACCTCATCCCAGCCCCACCAGGCCAAAGGATACCTGCTTGCTTAGCCATCTGTCTCTAGATACAGAGCCTCTCCCTGCACCCTCTTTGCCCTTACTGTCTGCTCGTGCTGAGTAGAAGCTCAGAAAACTCTGCACTGAATGAGGGACTGTACAAATAAGACAAGCCACACACTGTCCACCCTGAGGAAGGAGGAAGGATGAGACAGCCCCTGAGACCCCTGCCTCCTAGATCATGCTTTCCCTGCAGTGGCTGCTTAGCAGATCTGTTAGAGAGACCTCTCCTCAGAGCAACAGCTGGCACCTGTCCCAGGTCTCTAGGCTTGCCAAGCACTCTAGGCACAACCAGGGCAAGATGTACTCCAAATTGTCCTCCTCTTAGGAGAATTACCAGAGGCCAGACTGGCTCACTCTCTGCCTCATCCCTTGTCATGGATCCTAATCCCTATCTGGATCCTTCCCCATCAACAGCCAGGCAGTGGAGAAAATCTGACAAAACCTTCCACAAATACACAACTCTATTGCCACCTCCCCATTTGGTGTAACAATAGTCAACACTTATTATTTTTTTTTCAACAGTTAGTATTTACCATGTTCCAGGCACTACTCTAAGCACTTCACCTACATTAATACATTTAATCATCACATAAACCAGATGATCACGTTAAGTGGTATTATTACACTCATATTACAGAAGAAAACAGGTTAAGTGTAGTAAGTTGCTAGGACCACTCGACTAGAAAATGGTGAAACCAGGATTCAAACACAGGCAGTCTATATACCTCAGGAACTACCCATCATTCCTGATTTACAGATAAGAAAACTGATCTTTGAGGCATCGTGTCAATGGGGGTGCTAGAGCAGGTGTCAAAGCAGGAAGGAAAAACAAATCAAAGGCAGGCAGCATGAATACTGTCTCGTCAGAGGTCAAAGTCCTCTCACTTTACAGATGGGAATTGTGACATCTTCTCCCACTTCCCTGACTAGGGCAAGAGGCTGATGTGCTCTTTTGGGGGAAGCACTGTCCCCAGTGGTTCTTCTTTATAAGGCTCCAGATGGCCAAGGAAGAGGTGAGACAAAAAGAAGGAAAACGCATAGACCATGCATTTCACAACCACATGCTCCTGCTGCTTGGCAATTTTGTAAGCTCAGAGGCATCTGGATGACTAAAGTTGAAACAAGAAAAATGTTAACAGCCTCACAATCCAGCTCTCAAACCCCGATGATGAGATGATAACCCGGAGAGAGGATAAGTCACCTAAACTTCTGGTTTCTCCTTCACAAGATACTCAACTGAAACAAGTTAAAGCCTTTCCACTCGCAGGGCCTAAGCTCACTCAGAGACATTACCATGTCATGGTGGAGGACGTGGGTACTCGAGCCAGGCAGGGAGGAGTTTAGGAACCAGATGGCTCAGCAACTGGCCACTAATCTAGGAGAAGCCACCTAACTTCTCCAGAACTTTACTTTCATCCTTAGTGATCACTGGTTGCTGTGAAGGTTAAATGAAATAATATCAAAAAATAAAATAAAATAAAAGCAGTACACTGAGCTGCTGTGGGGCTGAATTTACCTGCACATTCTCTTCAGTCACCTCGATTTCCGCAGTGTAGATGTAGTCGATCAGCTTACTCAGTGTCTGCCCATCTACATCTTTAATCTCAATCTTCTTGGCTTTGCTCTCAGACATGTCACCTAAAGTTCACACAAAAAACAAACAAACATGAATTGGGTGCCTTATGGTATGGTTTATTTCTGCATGGCCTCCTGCCTTGTCTTAGAAACAAAAACATACTGCCTGTGCTCTGGGAAGCAGTAGAGGAGACTCAGACACAGATGAAGTCTAAGTCACACCCACCGTGAATCTCTGCTCACCCACAAACCCACTCTTCAGCATTCTCTACTCTACCAGTTGCCCATTTTCATTTTGAAAATGAATCAAAATAAAATAATCCATTCAAGCAACATTCTGTATAAACTTCTTTATATCAAGCCAGGAATAGTGAACATTTTGCAGATGTCCTCATGGAACGTAGGTCTAGTAAGACAAAGACATACGAATATTTATAAACATCATAACAAGAACTTAGTAGAAGTATCACAAAGTGCCATGGAAATCAGAAAGACTAACATTTGTTGAGTGTGAACTAAGGCCAAATACTTCCCCTTTCAATTCTCACAACCAGTGAGTTTATTAACTTTGTGCTCAAGGATTAGCCACATACAGCTTGCCTAGCATGAGCAAGGTCCTCGTTCAACCCCCAGCACAGATAAGACTTAGGTACATATGGTTGGGGGCAGAGAAGAACAAATACCTTGTCCTCACTATGCATCCAGGAAGCAGCCAGGCTGGGTAGAAAACCAGGAGTGTGCACCCATAACCACTGTGCTATCCTAAATCTCAAAAACACAGAGGAGCCAAAGAAACTTAGGAACTACAGTGAGGCATCATACTAGAAGGTCACTTTCGAGTGGAATACTACAGAATGAAAAGGAGTTCCACTGGCAGCAAAGGTGGAAGGATTGGCTGGATGTGAGTTCCATAAAAGTAAAGAAAGGACAGTGCCTAGAAGATACATTCAGAAACCAGCGGGAGGCTGGCTACACATTGGGGGTGGTGCAAGGAACCAGAGGATGAAGAGGTACACTGGTCCATGGACTTACAGATCCTCAAGCTATACAAATAAGCTTGGACTTTATCCAGACAGTAATACCACCGAGAGGTTTTAAACAGGGAAATCACATCAACAAATGGGTATTTCTGAATGAAATTTTGGATGCAGGTTGGGAGTTGGATCAGAGGCAGAGAAAGAAGTTGGATAATAATCCATGAAAAAGGGATGAAGGACTATGAATGAAGGTGGCAGTAGCACTCTTTTCCAGTCCTCAGTCCCCTCTGGCTTCTGCCTCCACTCTATAGGCAATCAATCCATGGCTTTACCCAGAATCAGAGTTCTTCAGCAAGAGCAGCTGTTTCCAGAAAAAAGGAAAGCCAGTCAACACATGCATCTTTGTAGTCTGAAATAAAGGGCAACAAGACTATCAGAAGCAAGGCATTCAGAAGCCCTCATGTGAGTGTGAGAACACAGCCTGGGTGGTTGTTTTCTTTCTCTGGAATTGATGTACGGCAGCCAAGAAAATAAAGTACAGTACAGTGTGTAGGCTGCAGACACCCACCTTCAAGCTGCATGGACTGCACACAATTCCTCCATGATTCCTGTTCCGCTCCTGAAGCAATCCTAGATTTGAATGACTCTGGAAATTTTTCCAAACTCTGTTTTCTTCACTGTCATACCAGAAAGACCAGAGCCTTTCACTCTATTCTGTTACCTCTAACTACTATGGAGACCAGGGGAAAGGCCCCAGCTCAGCGAGCCCCAGGAAGGTAAAAGAGAAATAAAGAATACAGGAAGAAATGGTAGATTCCCCCCACCCACCCATAAAACAGGCTCTTACAGTTTCTTTCGAGTTTATGTTGAGATACACAAAAACAATAAAGACAAGAAAATCAAACTTATTTTTCTAAACAGCCATCAAAAAATTCATTAGTAAGTGTCCACCTGATAATTATACTGCGAAAGGTAATCAAATATAGTCAATTCTTAGTTTAAGAACTTAGGCCTTAAAAAATAAGACTGAGGGGCTGGGGAGATGGCTCAGGAGAATAAGTGCTTCCCTGGCAAGCGCAAGGGTCTGAGTTCAATCCCCAGTTCCACCAAAAAAAAAAAAAAAAAAAAAGACTGAAAAAAGCATCCTGACTGCAAGAACTATGAGGCTCATTCAGCAGCTTGCCCATGAGAGAGAGCAATCAGAGCCTGGGCTGATGGTCCATCTGTGGCATTTGCACTCCAGAGTCAGGTTAAGCTACTATAACTTTGGAATAAACTAATGGAAACTCCTAAAGATTAGGTAGGTAGACACACAAACACACACACACACACACACACGTACACACACACACCATCTGAGTTCACAAACTTGATTCTTTCCACAACTCTGGTCGCAAACCAAGTTGAATGAGAACTGAACA